GGATAAAATAATTCCAGAAAAGTCCAGAATTTTTATTTAAGCCGCGAAAAAAACTCCGAAAGCTCTGAAAATTCAGGGAAATTTCTCAGAGATATTATGGAACATGAGGAACAAAAATAAAGTATTTGGAGCTCATGATAAGTTAATTTTGCAGCATCTAAAAATTAAATTATGTTCACAGACAAGTGGAAACAAGTTTCAGAAAAAGCCGAAAAATTCCTGAAAAGTTTGTAGAGATTGATTGACGGACGAGGAACTAAAAGGAGCGATTTAGGTTACAAAGAAAAGATTTTAGGAAGCTCTCAACGAAAACTTGAGCTGAGAAACAAGAAATTTTGATTGTAGAAAAAGATAAAAGCGTGCCGGAAAAGGAAGATTGACCTACTAAACGCATTTTAAAGACTTTGCTCACTCTCAACACACAAAGAGGCAATAAGCAAACATTACACAAAGCAATAGCCCGTCAAATTAGTTCACAAAAATTTAAAGATTCATATTTTTTCTATAACTAATTGACGCTATCTTAAACTAAACTTAGAAAATTTTATCTAAATATTAAAATATTTATTTTAATTAGTGTTTGCTATGCACAATCCAAAATTAAAAATTTCATGGTGTGACACCCAAGTTGTAAAGTCTCAAACCATTTTGGCACCGTCACCGTCGCCAAATCGTTGGGAAATACGGGCAGCGCTCCGTGTCCACACCGTACCCCGTGCCCTCTTTCTCCACCGAGCAAAAGTGACGAGGCTACCTCGGCGTAGTAGGGGGCTAGCAAAAGTGACGAGGCTACCTCGGCGTAGTAGGGGGACCGAGCCCCAACGCGGCATCTCGTGGAGTCTTTGCCATCGCCCATCCCATCAGGTCGTTTGATTGGAACTGCCCGTGCAAGGACGGGAGGAATTGATGGGACGTGGATGGCGGGCGACGGCCAATACACTGCACCGGGAGATAGTCGGTCGGCGGATGGCGGATCGGCTCAATGGCGCGACGCCATTTGTGTGACTAATGCTTCACCACACGGTCCATTCCTCGCCGGTGGCTTAATTGGAACATAAGTCTGCCCATCCATGAAGAGACTGAAATTTCTACATGTATTTCTTCTCAGCATTTTTTTCCTTTGGATATGGATGTCAACTAGTACTTCAAATCAAATTTAAGAGAAGGAAATTGACATGACGTAGCTGGGACCAAGGAGCAATCCAAAACAAATAGGTCACGTAGGGCCTCAAAAAAAAATTATAACTATCAAATTGGTTCCCAATGTTCCGTGCGAGGATTTGAGCGTTGGCGAAGGGGCCCCAAGAATGGCATGCGAACGCAAGGGATGCGTATGCCTGCGTATAATTTAGAGCATTGCAGCAGCGGTGGTGATCGTGTGGTGCGTGCGACACGGGATATGGTCAGCTTTACCTTTCGCGCTGGAGCTCTCCGGTTAGTGCGAGAGGAATGCTGACTAGGAGTGACAGTGCGTCGGCACACGTGGCCCAATGCTAACTGGAGGCCGAGCTTTGCACGTACTAGTGCCGGTTGGAGGAGCACAAAGTCAGCAGCAGCCATGAAAAAGGAGATGGAGCCTCCAGCAAGCCCTAGCCTTTTTTCTCTGCATCCTCATCCTGTGAGAGGAGATGGTGATTGGAGCTGAGCCTCATGATGGCTGGAAGACAGAGCCAGGAACTAACAAATCACGCACCAGATCTTGATAGCGCAAAGGAAAGACTGGGGGGAATGAGTTTGGCACACGATTGGGGAAGAAAGATCCCGAAATAAAGATAGGATTGGGTTGAGCATGGAAATACAAATACTCGTGGGTCAACTTATTTGTTAGTGTTGACCTACAAATCTGCTCTTTTTTTAGTGGGAAATCATGCACTTGCATGTTACACACAGGCTGATGCAGACTTGCCTTGAACCATCGTTATTCTTTCATTCAGTATAAATAAATAGGAAACTTCAACCACCCGTTTTTAACCGTGAAGATCTTTTTTTTTTAAAAAAAGAAAGAAAAAAAATCAAGTCTACGCCCACAATGCAAACAGGAGATTGATATTACAGGTCACAGCACGCTTTCAGATTTCAAGTACACAGAATGATTCTTGAACCAAAAACGTTTGAAATGCAACCACCACCAACCAGAAAAAGCAATCAGAACCTTTGAAATGCAACCAAAGTGCGTCATGCACGTTTCTTGCATTGCGTGGACACACATCAATCAAATCATGAACGAGCAGGACCACAACTGATGGCAGAACTATACGAGGATAATATGCACGGGTTTGCGATCAGATAACCTTAGCAAAAGAATTTACCATAACCAGATGCAGAGCACAGTGGGGCGTATACTGTCTACACCCATGTGGATCAGGTTGAAGCGTCCAGTCATGGACAGAGAGCTGGATAACATAGCGTGGGAATCTGATTCATCCCGGTGGCCTAGCAAGCCTTTTTATCCACTGATAGTGGCGACTGTGTGCGTGTGCGCGCCAGCTTTTGGTCCCTCTCTCGGCTATCTTGTTGCCGCATCCACCTAATTCCATGGTTCCCACCATGTGTAGTACATCACGCCTTCCATGGTTCCCTTATCCCCTCTTCCTATCACTTCAGATATTCTCTTGTGGCCGTGAATTGACACCGACCACGACTTCGTATAGGAGCATCGATTAAGCGCGACTCAAGTCGGCAGCTTTGGCTGGAACTGGGGTGTTAATAACTTAGAGCATTTCCAAGAATTTCCTAAATCCACTCTTAATCTTGATTTTTTTTTTGGCAAGATTAGAAAAAAAATGATCTCCAACAACTTCCTACCTCACCTTCCAGTCTTTCGGCACTTGAAAAAACAACCCGACCGCGTGGAAAAGTGGTGGAAGGTCGTAGATAGGAATAAAGAGAAGGACATAGTTCTCAATACAAATACAAAAGATAAAAAAAGTATAAAAGTGGTTCGTGTAATTTAAAAATGGTTTGAGATTCATGATGTAAAATTAACTTTTATGTTTTAGGAGCGACATTTTAGAAACTGTTGAAAAAAACCAACAAATATGCTCCCAACTTTTTTAGCCACTTGAAAAACTCGTTAATTTACCAACTGGTTTTTTTAGGAACTATGGAGATGCTCTTCTCAAGAACTTCTCAAAACCATGAAGTTTTCCAACTCGCCAGAAAATATTAAGAGGAATAAATAAGACTATCTCTAACAGTTTTCAATAATCTACTCCTAAAATATAGAAGATATTTTACATCAGGAATCCTATACTATTTTTAAATTATCCTAACCACTTTTATATATTCTCTCTCGTATATTTGAACCATTTTCTACTCTTTATTCTTTCACACGCGTTTCACCTCAGACTGGAAGACAGATAGGCGTGTCTTCCAGCACGCATGTATCCACGCGTTCGACAATTTTTTCTAAGTGCCAAAAGATTGGGAGGTAGGATTGTAAACTCTTAGAGATGTGTTTTTCTTTAATTCTTACCAAAAATTTTAGATCGTGAGGTTTCATTGGAAACTCTTAGAGATGCTCTTATAGAGTATTATTAATTTTGTTTTCGGATATGGCTTGGTAACCATACAAGACCATCCCTAATTACGTCTACAGGCTCTTGACCTACACCAAACAAATCCCTGATATACGCAGTGCTCCCGAATCCTATGGATGATCTTGTAGAAGAAAATGCAGACTAGCTGCATGCCCGCCGGTCACTGCTACAGCATGACCCAACAAATGCAAATTGACTAGCCACGGCAATAAAAATTCAACTAGAGCTTGTTCCAAACGCATGAATGCACATTCCATTCTACTCCCTCAATCCCAAAAAGAATATAAATCTCAATTTTTTATTAGTCAAACGTTCTCAAGTTTGACTAGGTTTCTAAAAAATAGTATCAACATTTGTCTCTCCAAATAGATTTATTATGAAAAAATATTCCACAATCTAATCATACATTAATACTTATCACGCATCATAAATATTAGTACTTTTGTATATAATTGGTCAAAATTAAAATCGTATGACTCCTCAAACTCGAAAAGTGAGATTTACATTCACTTTGGGACGGAGGGAGTAAAAAGACTTTTGTGGGTGTGTGAAACTGTGAAAGGAAACTGCAAAAAGAAAACATGCAAAACAGAAGTAGGGGTATCGATTCTGACTTCTGAGTGATAAATATCATTTTGGATTGAATTAGAAGCAGATCGAACCAGCAGAACTTCACCAAGACACAAGGTAATTCTTTTGTCAGTTATGATCTATTCAAGTTTTAGCATTACAATGTTTTAATCAGTAAATCTGATAAGGTAGCCAAACACCACTAGATCATAACCTTCCTATTATCTTTACTGTTGTTCGGTACCAGGAAAAGGAATTATATTGAGGTGATCCGGCTTCAATATCACTTAGTCAAAGCCTCAAAGGTAAGCATGCATGTCATACATTCCCCTGAAATTAAATGTCAACATCTGCTCGATATTACCAGGTCGATTTGCAGTCTTGCAGAACAGCACTCGGCAGCTATAGATCTTATGGACTGCCTTGGTGTCCTACATGGGAAGTTGATTTCACAAGCCTTAAATCTGTGAGTAGAGAAAACAGAATCAATTAGTTTGTTTGGCTTGGATTCACATTCTAATCTATAAAGTTTGATCGGAAACCCTTACTAGCTACCATGTCTCCTTGATCAAAAGTCAGTGGGCAGCCATTAAGCCAAACTTAGTCCACCCAAAACACAAGATCTCGTCCAGAAGATGGTACTCCATAGATTTTCTATCCAGCCATGATGGGATAAACGCCAGTTGTTCAGAAATAAAGAACAGGCTGGCTTAGATCTTGCCCTGATACTGGAAGTGTAATTTATAGTCACGCACCAGATCAGCAAGAGTGGTTCGGCATGGGCCCTCTAGAAAGATAAAGGAAAAAAAGAAACAAAAGGAAGAGTTATCTAAGAAGTTATCTGTGTGTTCAGAACTCAGAAGTAAAAATTTTCGAGCAGATTAACAAGGGCTACGGACCACCCAGGTATGTGTGGAGCTGTTGAAAGTCACTTTCCTCGCATATATCAATCAGGGAATATACACCAGGTCTCAGGGCCTCATCAGTTTCTCTGCCATGTCAGAAGAGCAAGTCTGCTGAAACAAAAGCATATAATGAACAGCTTGACTTGAGTCTAAAGAACAACATACCGTGTTATCCCTGTCTGAAAAGGACCCTGTCCAGAAAACATGGAAATATAACCAGCAAGAAAGTGCATGGCATGTTTTCCTAGGGTTTCTCTCTGCTGGCGCATCTGCATTGCCCACACAATAGGAGAAAAGTATATTAGTTTTTGTAGGTACATGAAAAATAAATATGCATGCCTCAGTTGCATTGCCATTTCTTTGTTGTGTCATTAATTTTGACTTAGCCAAACTCTTGTCACAGCAAATATCTCAGTAGTCAGTACAAATAGCTTTGCTCCATGGTTTTCAGTTTAAAAAAAAAACTATTATTAGTATTATCTTCTGGGAAGATAGCTTAACAATGCCAAAATACTTCAGCAGAAACAGGATACAGCAGACCACAAGGAAACACACAGCCCAACCTTAAGGCCAGACACGTCACACTATCAAAGTAATATTCTGTATCATTTCAAATGAAAAAAACATAACCATCACTAACCTCTTCATAGATCCTTCTGAAAAAGGAAGCACATTTTAGTGCCTCCTCCATATTCCAAGCAAAATATCCAGCCATGTTAACCATCTTTGAATCAGTGGACTCCAAACAACCGAGCAGTATGCTTACTGAATCCTCCAGGAGTGCCACACAATGGCCAATCTCGCTAGAGGGAAAGGTGGGGTTATGATATGAAGACCAAATGCAAAGAACAAGAAGAGAGTCAAAATCTCTACCGTTGTTGGTGCCGAAGAGTAGTGCATAGCAATTTGCAACATGCAACATATATATCAACTGAAAATTGTCTATCAAGAATATATTCAACATGATCTGCATGGTGACCTACACTTTGGTTGCGGTACTTAGCTAGAAGATGCTTAAACCCTTTGAAGAGTGTTGCAGGAACATGCAGGCATTGGGAAACATGGGATGCATCAATTTGAAAATGCCTTCCCACAAATGAAGTGATAACCTCCACACACATTAGAACAGCAGCTCCAGCATCTGGATGGAACACACTACAATGAGGCGGCAGCTTCTGAGTGTAGAAAATATGTGGACTCTGAAGGTGTAGTACAATGTTGAATAAAGCGCCAACTAGGCCAGGGACAGTTCTCTTAAAAACACGCTTATTTCCTGAAATATGGGTTGAAGAATAGTCAAAATTCACCTTTTCTCAAACCAGGCTTTCCATATGAATACTCTTCATAGCATAGATGTAATCATGTAAACCCCACAGACATAGAAGCAACAGACAATAAACGTTTGCTCCTTCACACACTACTCATCATCGTATAGAATTTTAGAAGTTTAGATCAAGGTTCCTAAACAGCATCAACTAGTTCATGTAATGATATGCTAAAATCTGCATAGGTCAGTTAGAAAAGCAGTGGATTGTGGAACGCCTGGTACTGATTATTGACAGGCACCAGCATTAGGCACTAGAATATCAAGTGAGTACCGAAATATAAATGGAAGTGTGGATCAAACATTTTTCCACAGCACTACGACATATTCATGTATATGAAAACTTGATGTTGATTAGAGGACATATACAGTTTCGTCCATACAATCTGAATCCATTTTTAATGCCGTTGCTCAAACATAAAGTTTGACTGGCACAAATTTTAGGCTAACATGTATTTGCAAGGGGAGCACTCAGCTTGGCATAGGAACATATAGCATAGCTGTGAAGCAAGAATCAACTGCTAAGAATTACTGACCTGTAAGATACAATCTTAGTATTGTGGGGCAACGGCAACTAATCTAGTTCTCACATATGATGTTAGTATATACTTGGTACATTACTAAATCCTCCTAGGAAGCTGATTTGACATGAATCTCACTATCCACAAGCAATGGATTGAAACCACCTTTGGTAACAGAAATCTTCTTATATTTTCAAACTCCACTACAAGTTCTATCTCAACATGCAAGCCATCCACATCAGTTCTCATTTACTATCCACATCATCTCCCACTAAAGCCACGTCAGCCCACTAACTTTCAACCTATCAATGCAAGCCATCCACATCACGGCCACTAAGTGCAATTACTATTTTCAGTATATAAAAAATATACAAGGCATTCATATATTGTTATTTGTTTTGCCATTCCATCATCTTATAATTCGATCTTGGTTAATGGAGAGCCTGGGGACTCTATTTTCCATCACCGTGGGCTCAGACAGGGTGACCCGCTGTCACCAATGTTGTTTATTCTAGTTATGGATGTCCTAAATTCTTTGGTCAATCACGCTACTTCGATGGGTTTGTTGCAGCCTCTGGCCATTCAGCAAGCAAGGCATCGGGTCTCCTTTTATGCTGACGACGCGGTAATTTTCCTGAGACCATATCATTTGGATCTGATCACCATCAAACACCTCCTAGATCTGTTTGGACATGCTTCTGGGCTTAGAACTAATCTAGCTAAGAGCTCAGTTTCCCCTATTCACTGTACTGATGAGGAATTGGCTCTCACGGCAGACATCCTCTCATGTTCTATAAAGTTTTTTCCCTGCATGTATCTTGGCCTCCCGCTCTCAATTGGAAAACCAACTAAAGAGGTGCTGTTACCTTTAGTGGATAAAGTGGCAGATTATCTCCCTGGATGGAAGGCTTCTCTTATGAACAGAGCTGGGTGGCTAGTCATGGTGAAGGTTGTGCTGACTGCTGTCCCAATATACCTTTTAACTGCCCTGGACCTTCCAAAATGTGTGATTAAGGCTATTGACAAAAAACGGCGAGGCTTCCTTTGGAAGGGTCACCAGCAGGCCAATGGTGGCAATTGCCTAGTAGCTTGGGAAAAGGTGCAAAGACCACTTGAGTATGGAGGTCTTGGGATTCATAATCTTGAACTTCTGGGATGTGCACTGAAGATTCGGTGGCTGTGGGCGCAAAAGACAGATGCTGAAAGGCCTTGGGCCGGCCTTCCTATCTCTGTTCCTCATAAAGCCGAGGCTCTCTTCAATGTTGCAGTCGATGCCATAGTAGGAAATGGAGAGGAGATATTGTTCTGGAAAGATAGATGGCTGGGGGGCATACCATGGCTGAAATAGCTCCTAACCTGTTCAAGGCAGTCCCAAATCGAACAGCCAAGAGAAGGACGGTGGCGCAAGCCTTGCATCATAATAGTTGGGTTCAGGATATTAAAGGAGCACGTACAGTTGTGGTCATCCTTGAGTATCTTTGTATTTGGGACATTGTGGATGGATTTATTTTGCATCAGGAGATTCCAGATCAATATAGATGGAAATTAACTCAGGATGGTTCCTACACCAGTAAATCAGCTTATGCAGCCTTCTTTGAGGGAACCATCAAGTTTGGGTCTTGGAGAAGGATCTGGAAAACTTGGGCTCCTCCGCGCTGCAAGTTCTTCATCTGGTTGGTATTTCACAACCGGGTCTGGACAGCCGATAGACTTGCAAGGAGGAATCTGCCCCATCCTGAGGCTTGCCCATTATGTGATCAAGAGGATGAAACAATAAACCATTTGCTAGTGGGCTGTGTTTTTGCCCGGCAAGTTTGGGCCCTGGTTTTGCATCAGTTGGGAATGCTACAGTTGGCACCACAGCCTACTGTGATTCGTTTCTCAGGGTGGTGGAAGAGAACAACTGCGGCTGTCCCTAAGGATTTGCGTAAAGGCCTCAACTCCTTGATAATTTTGGTGGCTTGGGAGATTTGGAAGCATCGCAATTCTTGTGTCTTTGATAATAAGAGGCCAAGTGTTCAGGAAGTCCTTAGGGCTATTAGCTCGGAGGGTGGGCTCTGGTGCTCGGCCGGGGCCTCCAAACTTCAGGAGCTGGTTTTCAGGTTGATGCCTTCTGGAGCTTAATGCTTGGAGAAGTTTGGTCATCCTTTTCCTTTTTGTGTGGCGAGTCTCTAACCCAGTTCTGGGGAGTGGGGTGTGTGTGTTGGGTCACTTGGACCTTTGTAATTTTTTTCTCTACCTTAATGAAATGACGCGCAGTTCTCCTCGCTGTTCGAGAAAAAAAAAAATCGATCTAATTATTTTAGCTTTTTTTATTGAATTCTTTCATTGTCACGCCCAATTTTGATAAGAATTGATGCAAGAACATGTAGGTAACTAATACATGCAACGATTTTATTTTTAAGAAGTCTCGCAACAACGCGCGGAGTATGCTTCTAGTATAACTAATAGAAAAATCTGGCCACTAACCTGGTACAAAATCAAGAATTAGATAGAGGCAGTCGATCCCAGCAGCAACATCAGAAGAAACTGACCCACCATCAGGATTTCCAGTGTAAACTTCATATATTGAATGACTACACTGATTCACTCCAACCAATGCCCTTTCAATTACTTGTAGAGCTGCATTTAGATGTGTGTTTGATGCAATATTGACAAATTTTCCAAGTACCAGTCGAAGCCTCGATTTCAATGAATTTAATCTATTCTGCATATCAATGAAATATTTAGGAAAAGCATAACCAGATGCATTCTGTAATTGCAGTGTTTTCGTGCTTGAGCCAATCTCATGAGTAGGAAGAGTTGCATTCTTCCGTTGAAGTAAGATGCATTTTCCAATAGCCCTCAATAGGGCATTTACTATCTGAGTATACAATTCTATTGAGATATTGAGCTCAGGCGATGTAAATGCACTTCCTAAGACTTCAAGATATCTTAATACCCCATCAATCCATACAAGACAAGACATGTGTGGCCAGCTAGACATGTCTGCAACTTTCTGTAGAGTGATGAAAGCTGTCCCAAGCATGGTACCCAATGAAAGCTGTTCGACAGGGCTGCAAGTCTGCCTAGAAACATCACTTGGAAAGGATAGGTAACCGTTCAGCTTAACAATAGCAGCAGATATATTGTATACCTCTCTCAAAGTGAATGATATGAATGGGCATTCACCTTTCAACAGGTTTTCCAGAAGAACATTTTCCATATACTGTATCTTAGACAGATCGAGTCCACGACTTTCACACTTTGTCAATTCATCCATGACTGCTTCAATATTCAGAAAACCATTCACACAATCTAGCTCTTGTGGAAGACGAACAGAAACTAAACCTCTAGAGGCAGAATCCTTGTTATCCATAAACAAGACATGAGCGCAAATATTTACAAAGGCCCCAAACTTAGCAATACAACTGCTAAATCTTGAACAATACTGAAGTAACATTTTCTTGTCCTCTGAGCTTGCTATTGGATGATCGTTGAATGCACTTTCTAGTGATGAATTAAGTCCCTGCAAGAATCCTCCTATGCAAGACATGGTGCATGACAATCTTTTCCAGCATACAACGTTACAGCAGTCTTCTAATTTGACAACACACTTGCCGTCCTTTATGGTAACAGGTATACCGGTTGCAGTCTTCTGTAACAGTTCGGCCATACTTTTGACACACTCCAAGGCTGATAATTCTACTATATCAAATGTCTGATCATTATGGTCTGAAGTCTCCCTTTCAATAGGGCTACCATCCAGGGAAGATTCAATTTGTTTCTTTAAATCAAACAAGTAAACTGATGAATTCACACTAGCTAGTGTAGAAAATAATTCTGATGTCTTATCTAACAAGGAGAACATCAACCTATTCACCTCATCGGTACACTTGTCAAATATTTTATGTGACGAACCAACAATTTCCTGAACAGATCTCAAAAACCAAACCAGAAAATACGAGTTACCATTTTTCTCTGAAAAGGCCAAGTATTGTTTTGCCTCTGGGCACTCTTTCCCGAATTTTAAGATGAGATTTATCAGAGCCCTACGGCAACATATAAACAACTGCAATAACTTCATGGGATTGCAGGATTCACAACGAAGACCTAGTAATTTAAGTAGCAGCAATCTGCAAGGAGAGGAAACAATTAATGGGCAGCAAAAGATAAACCAAACGGTCAATATTTCAGATATTAAACGCGCACATTAACACCTATTTTCCATTATTCTTTGGCAAATAACATTTATCACATGAAAAGTTGAGCTTGATTTACTGACTACAGTGGATGAGTAGAAACTAGAGATCGTCAATAAAATCAAACATCAAACTTAACGTTTGTGTTAACAAGGATTTTGGTATGTCATGAAAGCAGTCAACACACAAAAGAAAGAGGGAAAGGAGTGGCTATGACACAGAAGCCATGGAGATTGTGTGCCAACAAGAGCCCCATGCACAAGGGGATAAATAAATCCTCACTTTTGCCCTTCCCTTGATAGAAAAGCAAGTCAGAGCAGACGAATGGTGCTTTGTTGATCCTAAGGCCATCAGAATGCTATTACCACCTTTCCACATCACCTATCAATTTAAGGAATTCAAGAAATCTGTAGCAATTCATGTTCAGTTTTTCATAATAAGCACAGCAAAACCTCTTTCCATTGGAGTGAAAAGAGCGCCTTCATTTTTTTATATTCTCACTGCTAGCCATTAAGTCATCTTTCTATTTGACTTCAGCCCACCCTTTTTAACTAGCAATAGAGATGATGACAGCCAAGGTTACAAAAAGCACTAGGCGCTCTCTGCAGTAACCCTCTGCCTAGAGCCTAGCATTTTCTAGGCGTTAGCATATACACACACATATATGTTTTAAAAAATGGAAAATAGGAGATAAGGGGACCTCATTGAAGAGAAAGGCCCATCAAACAGCCCAAAGCCCAAGTCTGAACCCACCAACACCTTATCCCTAGGTCTCGTTTGTGCTCCACTGCCGCCGCTGGTTCCTCTCCTGTATCTCTCACTCCCGGTCTCCTCTAGCCACGCCCAGCCACCGCTCGCCCGCGCCCGCGGCTGTCACCCGCACGCGCCCACCGCCCGACGTCCCTTCCTCCCCCACTGCCGCCCAACGTCTACATCACCCCCACACGCCCCTGCCTTAGGTGGATCTGCGCGCCTTCCACCGCCACGGGCTAGCGCCGCCTAGGGTACCGCCTACCCCCCTACGCTAGGCAGTACTCCACCCAGTTGGCAGGTAAAAGAATAAAACATACAATTTCTATCTAACCCTACCTCGGTTAGAGGGCATATTACGAGGCAATATGAGGCTTTGCCAAGTGCAGATAGGAAAATAAGCAGACCTACCTTTACTAGCGATACAGGGCGTACCAGAAGTGGGGTGTTCTATAGCAAAAAAGGTGTTGTAGCTGAACTCAGTGTAAACATCAAAGAAAGGAGAAAAGGTGATGACCTAACCAGTAGTTCGAAAGCGCAAAAGTGGGAAGAACAAAGGTAGAAAGGTTTTGTCGGCTTAGATGGTTGGGTTAAGTGCACTTCCCAATCGAAGATTCTCGACTCATTTCACTTTCTTTCTTTCAGTCTCGCTCTCGTTCTAAAGTCCAGAGGCGAGTGCAGAAGAGCGCCTTGTTCAACACTGATGGCAGCATTAACCATGTGTTTTTGTTGCCATCATCAATAAACATGGTGCTGAACAACACAAAAAGGAAACAATGAACCGGTTGTTCTAAAATATTTGCCACTTTGACCAAATTAGACAATACATGTTAACTCCAATTTCCATCATAAGACCAAAAGCGAGTCAAAGTTAAATATTTAGTTAATGAGCTGTGCATATAAAAGTAAACTAGGAGCTAAAAAGGTGTCTAGTATCTGTAAAGAAATCTTTCAGTTGAAAGAGCCTAGTATTTGAGAATGTATGGAGCATCTTTGTTTCTCGGGTGCATATATGTCATAAAAAAACTAACCCCGGCCGTGGAACCAGTATGTATTTGTTCACATTTTTTTCTACCTATTAATACAACTTCATACAACTCTCCATCGTTTTCAAGAAAAAAATAATGCATGGAGCATATTATTTTGTCGCCCCTACTGTGGTATTTTATAACTCACGCTCCGCTCACAAATACTTGAATCATTTGACTTTGCATGGTCTTCATGTGTGTCTTTGACCGTTCATTTCTTCTAGAATATATTCTTAAAATCCTTCATATATAAGAGATTTTGCAAGTATTTTGCGTACAAATCAACACATTTAACTTACACACCTCCAAACTAAATTATGTAATAGTCATTGATGTTTGTAGTTTTTAAGGTTTGACTGAATCTTTAGTAAACCACAAGTTTTTGTGACCCTGTAGAAGAAAGCATAGGAATCAAAGCTAGCACAAGTGAGCAAAGTCATAAACTTGATACATGCCTTTCAAGATGGAGAATATAGTTTATAAGCCGTATGAATGCCTTGGAATTTGCATGAAATCCGGGAACAGCACTAAAAAAATTAAGGAAATCCTCACAGATCCAGTGTTTCTCTATGCAGTGTGCATGCGTAGCAGCAGAACCTGTACCAATCAACTTCTCATTTTCCAGGTTACTTATTGTCTCCATCAAATCAGGTGAAGTGTCCAAAAGGGCATTATCATCATCAGAGTTGGTAACAAAAGATAACGATTTCTTTAAAGCATGACAAAAACTTGATGCCAAATTCTTCAAGAGTACCTAGAAATATTCATTTCAAATTTGATCAAGTCATTAGAAAAAGCATGTGAAACACCCCCAGCTATCAAATATAAAATAAACACTGATAATCAAATAGTAGATTCAATATTACCAACATACATAGCAATCTTTTCTTGGAATAGAAGGATTACAATGATAGATACCTTTTGGTCATAAATAAATGTATCACAAAGGACCCCCACAGAAATACTATGCAAAGTCATTTCTCTGTATGAAGATTGAGTGCCATTATTCTCCTCCTTATCCATGGAAGGTCTCTTTTGAGTAAAAGAAAACCTTATCAAATTAGAGAAGAAAATCTTTAAATCCTTCTTAGAGGCATGAGAGTTCCAAATGTCAATGTTTTCACACAGAAGATGCCAAGTGGCTATAGGAAAAGAACCTTCATCTAAGGAACATAGACTCAAATCCCAGGAACCACTAACTTCGTAAGACCCAAAAGGACCATTTTCTCCTGAAGATAATAGCTTCACATATTTCATCATAAAACTCATCAATGTAGCAGCCTCAAGGCTGCAAGATTCCTTTAATAGTTGAGTGCTTCCTATATCCTTATTATCTAGTTGCCAAGCATCATCTTCAAGCAAAAATTGAAGTGCCTTAATCTGCCTGTTAAGGTCATTGAGTCTCTGCAGAGCCATCACATGTAAGATGTAAACAAGTGGAGCAAAAGAAGCACAATTTCTTGAGAGAGACTCTGATAAACTCTCAATAACATCCAAAAGGGAGTTTGAATTTTCAACAATCAATGCAAAATAACCCTTCCCGAGAATATTGGCTGGATTGGTCCACTCCTTTCCTGAGCATACAATGAATGGATTCCCCACTAACTTTGTTGCATCTGTGGCTACATCTGGAGGCATGAGGCCAATACATTGCTGATACAAACTTCTACATGATATATATAGGCGAAAGAATAGGCAAAATATCCAGGAAAAACTTGGGATCTTCTGCCGGTTGGCACGAAGTTTTTTAGATATAAATTTTCCAATAATTGAGGAAATGAATCCATTTAAATTTTTTGATTCGTTTCTGACCAAGTGACTGAAATTTGGTCGGATTGCATTGACCAACCTTTCAATAGATTTTCCTACCAGTATACTATTTGAAGCAGTGACAGTTATTGAGTCAAGAACACTAGCATATATTTCAGATAAGTGCCTGCCAAGAAGTTCGGCTTTCTGAAAAAAATAGAGTTCCTGGCAATGGACGGCTCTCCAAGTTTGTTTAAATCATCTTCCAAACTGCAATCTGTCATCCAGTTCAATGTTTCTGTGAGATCCGATGTAAGCTCCTCTATGCATCGACTAGACTGCCCTTGAGGCATCAATTTAATTGAAGTACGAATAGCACCCATCAATGTTTCAGAACTCAACAATGTTGTCAATGATTCCAAACATTCCTGGGGCAATAAAGAAGCCACAGAAAATGAGCCTTGTACTCCATCAGGGCCATCACCTCTGAATGCTCTCACAGCATCACACAGCCTGAAAATCGAGCGGGAAACCTACATTACGAACCAAAGAGAAAAAATAAACATCAGACCAGGGTATGGGAAAAGAAGAGCAGGAAAGCAGAATGTAGAAAGGCACACAAAGTCCACCCAAACATTGGGCTTGTTATTACGCTTGTATGATCTTCTTAGACTCATATCTTCTTAATATAATGATACACAGCTCTCCTGTGTGTTGGAGGCAAAAAAAAGGTCCACCCAAACAACGAATATTGCTCATTTGCAATCTTATCGAATAATCAAGTGAGAAACTATTGAAAGTAACAGCTGAAAAGTACATAACCAACCTGACGAAGCTCACTGAATGTGCAAATCACTTGGGCTGCGAGGCTTGAAATCTTTGAAGCTAGCAGGAAACATGGTTTGATGTCCTTGGAAGATGTATTAAATGCAGACAAAGCAAAAATCATTAACCACAATTTCATAAGGTCATCTCCCAGAACTTTGTACTCGATTTCTAGAAAACTGCCAACTGCAGAAACAATCTCTGCGAACATTAAAGGTACTATCTTCTTAATGCTTACATCTTCTAGATGCACAGCAGACATCCAGAATTTGTACATCTTTTCAGATATTGAGATCAAGACAGAGTAAATATCTTGCAAAAAGTTGAAGTAAGATCCTTCCAATGTATCCTCTGTAGGAACATAGATCTTCTCTTCAATAAGTGTTATCAGCATCACATTAATGGATTTCAGCATGCAATGGACCTCTACTAGCCTTGTCACCCCTAACTTAGAAAAATCCTTTTGGGAATACGATTTACACTCTAACACCATGGGTTCCATAAACTTAATAAACACTTCAAAAAGTGATTCTCTATGTTGTTGTGGTTCTTCAGAACCATCATTGCTTTTGTGCAGCCGACCCAATGTTGTTCCACTCAGTGCTACAGTTCTTTGATTTCTAGCTCTCCTGACAAACAATTGAAGCAAGTAACCAAACCCAGCCAGCAATACAGCCTTGTTTTCCATTTTTATTCCTTTGAATCGCTGAAATAGGTGTCTATGGTAGCTTCCTTTGATATCCTTGGCAGAAAGAGATTTATTCAAACTGCTGAGACCGAAATATCCACTAAGATGTTGGGGATGAAACAGTCCATTTGACAAGACATCTTCAACAATTTTCAACATTGTTCCTGACTGCTTGTGCTTACAGGAATTTGCTTGTGAATTAAGTAAAACTAACAACTCCAACAATGGCCCTAGAACCTTATCAACAAAAGCATGGAAAATATTCTTCGGATTTGCGCAAAATCTCAGGAAGCTTGAGAATTGCCCAAGGAGGCAATTTGCAAGTTTCTGAAGAACAGGGCAGAAATCGTCCTCATTAGCTGAAACCTTCTGGGCAAGATTGATAACCTCAATAGCACACGAGGCCCATAAATCTACACCTGCATTGAAGAATGCTCTTGTGTTGGAGGAGAAAAGCAATGACATACAGTCAAACACTTGTTCGAAGAGCTCAATAGATTCATTGTCAGCATGTGACCTGTTGCTATCAACTCTGCCCAAACCATGGCTTGCAACATGACTAAGTGATTTAAGTAAGTTCAGAGATATTGAAATGGATGGCTTCTTTTCAACACAAACTCTCAAAATTTCCCAGCATCTACAATCCAATGCTGGATCAAAAGTCTGTAGCACCTTTTTACTATTCTCAGGAAAATTTAAGATAGACTGCACCCAGTTTCCGATAAATGACACCAGACGCAATAGCTGAATGCTGTGCACCTTATGGCCGTGGCTCGAGTCATTTGGCAGTGTGGTTAGAAATTCAACTGCTAGCTCAATCTTTCTGCACGAATAAACATGTTGTTATGAAGGTGAAGATTACAAATGAGAAGATTAGAAGAAGGTTGATATAAACAGGATTCAAACAATTTATTCCAGTATCAGTTAAGTAGCACTAAAATGTTTGCTTCTATATGAATCAGAGAGATTCCATAGGGTATTCCTGCACATAATATGTCGAATTTGCCCATCTTACTGCATCTGACATCCCAGAAAGTAATAAGAGAAAGTACTATTCGACATAAATCAATGTGATTATCGTGCAAAATCAGCAAATATGAAGCCAACCTAAAAGCTGCCAACAACAAAATTGTATCTCATTAATCCTATTTGCACTGAACTAAGCAAATCATCTTGTGCATTATTTATGGCAGTAAACAAGTAATACGCAATCCTCCATAGCTGAGACGACTAAACCAGCAGACGATGGAAGCATAATCACCGGATAGACGAAATTCATAGTCACAGGGTCACACGAGCTAAAGTTCACCGAAACAGAAGCAGAGTGTGACCTTTCGAGCGACAGCTCCTTGCTCTGGAGGGATAGGACGAGGTCGAGGTGTTCCCACGCGCCCTTGGCGCCGCCGTCGCAGTCGAAGCGAAGTCTAGCGAGCTTGAGCTCGCTCGGACCCTCCCCTTCGCAAGGCGGCGATTGGCTCCGCAGCCGTTTCCTCGCTGCGCCGGGCCTCGCGGTCGCGGCAGCCGTCTCCATGGCGATGGCGTAGCGCAACAGCGGAAGGGGAAGCTAGGGTTCTGGGTTTTGGGACACGTGCTCGAAGACGCGCCGTGAAACCTTCTGCCGCGTCCGACCAGTCTAAAGCACGGATCTTAAAGATGGCTAACCAGACCGGCTTACGGTCACGGCGTCTGATGAAATAGCTTTAGCTCGACAAATTTCAATATTTAACCCTGAGTTCGTAGGCCTCTCAATATTTGATATCTAATTCGTAAGTCTTTCAATATTTGACTCTACGCACGTGAATTCTTTCAATACGAGGGATTTCTCAGATTTTCTCTCTTTTTCTATTTTTAAATATCTGTTCTCACTCCTCAGAACATGGGAAATGACAAAACTACCCACACCTTATCCTATCCTGCAACCGTTTGCGTTCCTTCGTCGCGATCGCGACCGCACGATGGAGCGAGGCCGCTCGCAGACGCCGCAGCCTGACCCTGACCCCGCCCGTATGCAGCGGCGCCGCCTGTCCAGTTCACCTCCACGTGCCCAGACCCCTTCCGCCCGGGGCGCGACGAGCGCAGGCGCTCGACCAGCCGCCGCCTGCTTCCGGCCACTCCGGCGCCGGTCGACTAGCCGCCGCCGGCCCCCACTCGCCGAGCACCGCTGGTGGGTGTCGTCGCTGCATACTAGTTCTAGTCGTCGCAGTCGCCCTCCACCTCCATCACGCCGCGCATGCAGCATGTGGTGGCCGTCAAGGATGGGATCCGCCCGGCCAGCCAGCCGCATCGGACGGGTGGGCGGCGCGTGGCACGATCGATCGTGGCCGGGAGCGCGCGTCTGACCGCCCGCCGGCTGCGCGTGCGATGTCTCCTGCAGCTCCGATCCGGACATGCATGCCCTATACCATATACACGAAGTGGTTATCACACATGCCTAGCTAGCTGGATTTAGATTAAGCTAATACTACTACTAACATGCATCGAGCCCCCGTACTAACACGATGTTAGCTTAGCCAAAAAAATTTACATCAAGCACCGGCCATATGCCTGACGACGACAGAAACCAGGGCGGCCGGGAAGATGTTGTGAGAAAAGCACGCAAACCGAGGGGCTGAGCGAGCGTCTAGGCCATCTGATAAGAGCGGAGGGTAGTATTGTCATTTCCGGTGTCCTAAACAGTGTAAAGAAGCAAATAAGAAATGAGAGAAATCCTTCGTAATTCCTAAGATTGAAAGAATTCGTATGCGCAGGTCAAATATTGAAAGACTTACGAATCGGATGTAGTGGCGTTCGAACTCAGAGTTAAATATTGAAATTTCTCCTTTAGCTCCGGCCCTGCCGCCCCGGCCCAACACAGAGCATTCTTGGTCCTGATTTCAGGTCCAGGGTTCCAGGCACAAGCTACAAACCCTAACCCATCCGGAGCACAGGAAATTTTGGAGGCTGAAGCGGAAGGGGAGAAGACGATGACGACGAGGGAGCCGCACGAGGCGTCCCGGCGCGACGGGCGCGACTCGCACGGGAGGCGCCCCCACTCCTCGTCCAGGTCGCGGAGGGACGATCCCAGGTACCAAGCCGCTGCACCCCCATCGGATTTCTGATCTGACTGCGTTTTGGTATATGGATTAGAATGCTGTTTTTAGGGGGCATCGGCGATTCTTTCTGGGACCTGCAGTTTCTTACAAGATAGCAATTTTTCTGAATCTCTTTTGTAGCCCAAGGAGAAGAAGAGATGACAGGAGGCGTGAATCGGACAGGTCGCACTACAGAAGTCGAGATGAAGAGTCTGCGGAGGTGGCGGACCATGATCAGAAGCGGAACAGAAATACTGCGCAGGGCGATGATCCTCCGAATGCTGAGTTGAAGTCAGCGAGTGATGTGAAGAATGGCCCCTCCACCAGGCATGAGAGATCACCTAGGGGAACCAAACGATTTTCTGAGTCGAGAGAGGCATGGCGGCCTCGGTCTTTCTTTCAGGTTCTTGTCTTTTCTCAGTTTACTGTATTAAAAGGGAATATCACCAATAGCTTCTGCTCTCTATTTCAAATTGTTTCATAGCTACATATAGTGTGCTTTGACTATCACGGCCTAGATACATTTTGTGCTCATGTTGTTACAGAGCTGTCATCTTGGATAGCTAAAAGTATTTTATGGAGCTGCCATATTAGATAGCTGAACAGCAACATTTGGTAACTTCACCGGAGCTGGAAAATGTACCTAGCAGATTAGTGCTATTAGGTGAATCCATGGGTCAATATTTGCTTGTGGTCTGGAGTGTAAAAATCTTGGTTATGACAGCTCTGGTCACTACTGCAATTGTGCCGAGTATATTGTCTAATAACAAATAGTGTGTTGATAGTAGAGACTCAAGACAATTAATCTGCCCAATGCATTGCGAGTATTCCATGTTGGTGTTATTCTAAATAAGTGTTATATATTTATTTTAAGACTCATGGTTAAAGGACTTCTGAATCTTGTGTTAAGGGGCTCTGGAGTACATATGATTTTGTAGGAAAGTTTACCTGTTAAGATTGTGGCATGCTTTGTTGTTTTGTGGGTGTGCACTATTTGAAACGATGGCCTTAGTAAATTTGACTTCGGGGCAACATAGTATTTTTTTTTCTTGCTTGTTTGAATGAGTGATACATCAGCTTCACGTTTCTGTCTTGTAAGTACATGCAATTGCATAGGTAATTTAGTTTATATAGTTGAAGCTCAGCTGTTCAAACTTGGAGATTTTGTTTGTGTCGGATAGTCTCTCTGACTCGACTTGTTGGGTTTCATTTTAAATTTAGCCAATCCTGACTTGCTTGGGTTTAAAAGGCTTTGTTGTTGTCTACGTATAATCTCATCTTAAAATTGATTTGTGTTATCCTATGTAGAATGTAGAAACCAATATTTGAGATAATCATCTCAAATTAGCACCCGTAGGTTCATTTTCTCCCCCATGTTTAGTTCAAATATTCATTAGTTATGCTCTGTTTGTGATTCTGTTGTTGCATTTCTGTGATTTAATTTCATAAAATGCAGTCTTAGTGTACAGATTAGTTAGATTCATGGACATGTTTTGCCAGCTTTGGCTAACAGGAATATACTTGTTGGTTGCAAGTAACAACTGTAACCTTCATATGCATCTTTTTTAGAATCATCTGAAGTGTGGAGGTAGGTTTCTGCATAAAGAATGTTAGGTCATTGGCTCATTGCTAAATCATAGAAATTTTCTTCCACTTGTCATACATAAATAACACATTCCTCCTGATGTAGTGGGACTTCTTTTATGACACATTGATTCAAATGCCCACTGTTTGTAACAATGTTAGACTACCTGTGCTTCTATGTACAGCACAATGAGCGTGGAAGTGCTGGGCAAGGTGGTCGGCACTATGACCGTCAGGCTAGTGGTGAGCTGCCTTCTTAGTTCGTACTTTGTGCCCTTATTGAATTCTCCATCCTCTATCCATGCTAAGTTATTTATTGTTTTTAAGACTATGGAAGGCAAAGGGAGCATCTCTCTGATAGAGATAAACAGGAGACCGAGGGGCACAGTTTGCAGGGAAAGGTTGAGCTGGACCAGCAAAAGGATGGTGATTCAACATGGAAGCATGATGGATTTTTCCAGTTGGAGGAAGAAGCACCCCTTGACAAGAAGAGGCCACCATTTCAGGAGATGAAGATACAAGAATCTGCTGCCACTGTAACAGAACCAGATTCTAGATCAAGGAAACTTGATCAGCCTGGGCTAACTTCTGCAATGAGAGAAGAGAGGAGAAATTATCATGCACGAGGATTTGGAAATCATCGACCGTTCCTAAGGCCAGATGATCGAGGCTTCAGAAGGGGGTTTCCTGATCACAGGAGTGATGGCCAGAGAAATGGGTATGATTCAAGGGGAAGATTTCCTGGTAGGGGAGGAATGGACAGAGACAGGTTTAACAACCCATATGGTGGGAGAAGCAACGTAGAGCAGGCTTCTGGTGATCAAGGAGAAAAATGGAAGCATGACCTGTATGATCAGACAAACAGGAGCCCGCCTCCAAAGACTGAGGAAGAGCAGATTGCAAAAGTTGAAGCGCTGTTGGCACTGTAGCTATCTTCTCTACGTCTGGAGTTATTTTTGTGTGATGATAGATTATCATCATGTACTTGGTTTCAGTTGTGTTGGATGCTGTCTTTTTATTCTATATATTTTGCATATCTATGGGGATTAAGACACCTTATGAAGTAATTCCATTTGGACTGATAATATTGTACTAGACTATCATGAGTTTCATAACGTAGAACCATCAAGCAAAAGTACAAGACGATCATGAGTTTCGTAAGTAAACAATTTGCTCCTCGAGTGCGTTTAGAGCTAAATTGCTTATTTAGTGTGTTAACCTCATATTGTATAGTTTTAATGTTTTATGACTTGTATACTCCTCGAACCGTCTGGGCCTGTCGGGGACCAATGCTAGGTAACTCGAAGAGGAGAGGTTAATGGTCATCAACATTAATTCATCCGAGCAGTCAAGAGCGTGATTACGGCTCCAATCGGCCCCAGGTGCACGGGCTCCGCCTCGACCAACCTCTGGGGAGCCTCTGGAGGCGGGCTCCGCCTCGCCCGACACCGAGGCTGCGGTCTCCACCTCGCCCGACCCTAAGGTCGCGGGCTCCGCCTCGCCCGATGTAACACCTCTGGTTACGAGCTCGTTTAGCACCGTGATTTAGGCTTAAGTAAAGTTTTGGAAACAAGTTTCTCGGAATTTTTTATTTAAAATGTACTTGATGCGATAAGCGAATCCGTGCATGACTTAGTTTTGTGGATTCGAATAAACGCCCAAGTTAAATTACTCAGTGCGTAAAGATATTTAGGAATACCGAACGACGATGCTAGCGAACGGTTTGTTCTGTTAGATTAAGCATGAAAAATAACCTTTATAAATAAAATAAAATATATTAATAAATAAAACGATATATGGGTTACTATAATTCAAGATGATATTTACCATAATGTTATAGTAAATTATTTATGAGAGAGTTACCATAATCTCGTAA